AAAAAAAAAAAAAAAAAGGAAAGCTCCTCACCTGACTCAGGACTAAAGGGACCAGCTGACCCCTCTCCTCCTTCAGGCCTCTGCCCAGACGACTCCATCTCACTGAGGCCTCCACTGTTGACCACATGACACCACCCCCAGCCCCCACTACTCCCACCTTGCTTCCTGCTTACTTTCTGCTCAGCACAGGCACTACAGATGGCCACACAGCTCTCTCATCTATCCTTCTCACTGTCTGTCTCTCGAGTTACGTGGGAGGTCTGTGAGGGCAGGAGCTTGTTTGCTCCATGGTTGTACCTCTGGCATCTAGGAAAGGCTCTGGCGCAGAGCAGGTGCTCAAAAACTACTTAATGAACGAACAAATATATGATGAAACATCATCAATGAACATCTCCTGCCCTCCCTTCCACGGACTCCATAACAGCCACATCAGCCTCCTGGCTATTCCCCTAACACCAGACACGTTCCCACTACAAGGTCTTTGCACTGGCTGTCTCCACTGCCCGGAATGCCCTTCTGCTCCCCTGTACTGTCCAACACAGCAGCCACTGGCTACATGTGACTAGTGAGCAGTTGAAATGTGACTGGTCGGAGCTGAGATGTGCTGTGAGTACAAAATACACACTGGATTCCCATGACTTAATATAAAAAATAATACAAACTGGCAGTGCCCATAGCTCAGTGACCAGGGCGCCAGCCATATACACCAAGGCTAGAGGGTTCGTGCCTGGCCCAGACCTGCTAGACAACAATGACAACTGCAACCAAAAAATAGCCAGGCGTTGTGGTGGGTGCCTGTAGTCCCAGCTACTGGGGAGGCTGAGGCAAAAGAATCGCTTAAGCCCAAGAGTTTGAGGTTGCTGTAAGCTGTGACACCATAGCTCTCTACTGAGGGCAACATAGTAAGACTCTGTCTCAAAAAATAATAATGATAAATAATAATACAAACTACTGCCAAAATTTTTATAGTGATTACATATTGAAATTATGTTTGGGATATATTAGAATAAATAAGATGTATTATCAAAAGTTGTTTCAGCTGTTTCTTTTTGCTTTTTTAATTTCTTTTTTGTTTGTTTGTTTGTTTTTTGAGACAGAGTCTCACTACGTCGCCCTGGGTAGAGGCCTCGACATCACAATAATCTCAAACTCTTGGGCTTAAGTGATTCTCTTGCCTCAGCTTCCCAAGTAGCTGGAACTATAGGCACCCACAACGCCCAGCTATTTATTTAATTTTTTTTTTTACTGATCCAGACTGATTCCTTAATTTTCTGTCCACCTTCAATCACAAAGACCCAGTCTTTCATCTGATTCAAAGCTCCTCACCTTGAAACAAATCCTAAATGCCCACCAACCCAGGAATGGATTAACAAGCTGTGGTATATGTATACCATGGAATACTATTCAGACACTAAAAAAGATGATGACTTTACATCTTTTGTATTAACCTGGATGGAACTAAGACACATTCTTCTTAGTAAAGCATCACAAGAATGGAGAAGCAAGAATCCAATTACTCAATTCTGTTATGAGGACCATTGGTGTTAGTACATGGTGGGGGTGGGGAATGGGGAAGTGGAGAGAGGGAAGAAGAAAGGGGTAGGGGGATCAGGATGTGTGACACACCTCTTGGGAGGCACGGCAAAATTATAAGAGGAAGTTTACCTAACAAATGCAAGCAGCGGGTGGTGCTTGTGGCTCAGTGATTAGGGCGCTGGCCCCATATACTGAGGGTGGCAGGTTCAAACCCAGCCCCTGCCAAACTGTAACAAAAAAAATAGCTGGGCATTGTGGCAGGTGCCTGTAGTTTCAACTGCTCAGGAAGCTAAGGAGAGAGAATCACCTAGCCCAGGAGTTGGAGGTTGCTGTGAGCTGTGATGCCATAGCACTCCACCAAGGGCAATAGAGTGAGACTCTGTTTCCAAAAAAAAAAAAAAAAACCAAATGCAAGCAGGGTAACCTGGTTCTTTGTACTCTCAATGATTTCCCAACAATTAAAAAAAAAAAAAAAA